CACTCATGTTCATTTGGCAATGACCTAACCAGGCCACCACTCAGCAGAAGAGGAAATGGTCACAGAATGACAATGCTGCCATCAGAGAGCCAGGAGTTAGTGGCTTATATATCACAGCTACCAAAAGTGTCATATTAGAGCATGAGCAAATGCACAAGAACACGCAGTGCAATTTTTAGCAAAGGACACTGCGGTCTGCAGTTGAAAATGCCTGAAGTGGCATGAACTTCTGAGTTGCAACTCAGCGATGTGCAATCTCGACATCAAAGCGTTAATCAAACATTTGAGGAAAAGTTTAGCTTACTAAAATACCAAGTTTCTAATAAACCAATTTTACCAAAATATATAGACATATAGGATTAAGTGCATTTAGTAGAAGAAATACATTAAAAAAATCTCTTAAAATCTTATGAGCCATTCAATGTATACACAACACAAAAAGTGGCAATAAGGCTATGATTACTGCTGAGGATCTAACTGACAACACTAAGTTCCAAAGACAGCATCTATTTTAATGCCATGTCATTGCGGGATCTGTGTGTGAGATGAGAGAGACATTCACACATATGTAGTCTGAATAGCTACACAAGTGGCATGCACAGTATTGAGAAGTTGCCTCTTGTTCCCTTATCCCTTGCCTCTTACTCAGTCTTCAATCTTAAAAGCTAAAGATTGGGGTAGGGCCAAGGATAGGAAATCATCCTGTTTCTTGACTTCCCCACTGTGTAGATTTGGAAGTGGGTCATGTGCTGTACTTGGTCCACACACTTATGTATGTGAGCCTTCAAGTAACAATCGTTCCCTCAATACATCATATAAGGATCCTCTGTTCACCACTGGAGAGAAGGCCAGGCTTCATTTCCCAGGGGGACATGGATCCTATAGGCTTCTTCTTTGCCTTCGGGCTTCTTGGGTCAGTTCTACACTGCTACTTTGTTATGCAAATACTACTGGTGTAGTCCTGGTGTTATTCTCCCTCCTACTCCCCCTCACCCCCCCCAGTGTTATGGATCAAGATTCAGTTTCCTGAGACTTTAAATAACTAAGGAAAACATAAATAAAATCTGCCTGCAGACTAGGACTGTTTTTCAGGAGTCAATTGCAGCAACCACATTCATATTGCTTACAACCCTGTTTTCTTTAGAAATTTACTTCCAACCCCATCATCATAATGAAAACAATTGTAGTAGAAAATATGGACATTTCATTTCCCTCATCCTTCAAGGCTTCAAGGTTTCAGAAGAGTTTACAGGCAGATCCTTGATCAAATCTGAAAATTCAGAAGCCACTCAGGTCTTAAGGAGGTGACGTGAAACCCGGTGCTGCTGTCTCTCTCGGGACGCTGCATTCAGTTACTCAGGTGGAATTTGGTAATTCTTAAATATCTCAGTGTAATGAGGGGGCTACCACACATTCAAAGTGTAGTTACTTCTTTAAAAATCGTTAAGACACCTCTCTTAAAAATCTTTTTAAATCCCACTGTAAACACATGGTTTTCTCTCTTTAGGCCTGTCTCTACATAACTTTGAACACTTTTTTAAACAAAATAGAATATCCATATAAATGCAAAATTTACCTTTTAAAATGTATTTTAAAGCACATGCTAATTCAATGACACAAAGAACCTAGATGAGAATTATTTGTCTTCAGCAAAAACCATAGGGCTAATTAAAGTCAAACAATCTGTGATTATATTTGTAACCCGGGTCTTGGACATCTTAAGATTTCAGAGTAGAGATGACTGCAGAATAACAGGCAGTGGCGAGGGTTAATTTGGGTCCTCACTTCCTCTTGCCACTTGGTTTCCAAGGATAACAGGAGCACCAGGCAGGTGTTCCCATTGCATCCCTCTTAAAAGCTGAGGTTGGCATTAGTGCTGGAGTTAAAAATGCTTATGTGATGTTGAGGGTAGGAAATTCATCAACTCACAGCTAAAGAAAGACAGCATAGTTAACTTCTGATTCAGGGAGAGAGGGAGGGAGAGAGAGAGAATATGAATGAGGATGAGAAAACTATTACATGAACTGGAGTTACTTTAAGAGAGATAGACTTAAAGAAGGTAATTCTGTTACAAAACTAAAGTCCTTCAATGGAAAATCCTGACCTAGACACTCCTCACCACACACACACTGTCCCCCAAAGCATTGCCTATATTCCCAAACACTTTTGGCTATTGTCAGAGTCATATAGAGCTGTGGTTTAGAGAATATACCAGATATTCCCTTTTTGTTCATTTTCTAATAAAGAAAAAACTGCCAAGCTTTAAAGGTTCATGAAGCAACATTTCTGTGTTAAATTGCAAGGACACTAAAAACCACTAGCATTAGAGCAGGAATTGCATACGGCACTGGTACCTCACTTAGGCATCATGCACTAGAGTTGATAAAAAAAAAAAAAAAAAAAAGAAATAGTAGAAAAACAAAATGCTCCCAAGTCCTGAGACCCTTCACTCTGTTTTCATGCCTTTTCACCAGTTACATTTTATCCTTTGCTGGACAATAAAATCAAGTGCCTCTGATAATTTCAGCAGATTTAAGTAGTAATGTTAAAAAATAACTCATTCAGATGAAAATTACTATAATTTAAGTTAAAAATCAAAACAGTTATAACACAAATGAAATGATTTGAAGAAAAAGAATTTGATTAATAATATTATCAGTTGGTCATTAATCTAAACATTGGAAGTATACAAATAAACTGAAAACAAAGAAAAATACTTGAAGACTAAGGAAATGCAATATAATAGATCATAAATTATGTGCAGAGACTGAGACTTACAGACATTTCCAGTATTTACATCCATTTTCAAATATTACCAAAGTGTAAACATAAGATAATCATCCTTCCAATTTCATTCTTAAAATGAATACAGTGAAATTTCCAGTGTGATCCAGATCACTTTTTTTCAAAGATGGCAAACATGTACAATAGCAAGCACTAATATTATCACATTTTGACTAATTTAGTCTTTTAGTATTAGAAAGGATTTGCTGGAATTGATAGTTCAGTCATAGTGGTTCCTTGTTTCTCATGGTATTAATAAATAGCAAAGCACCACACATCTCAAAATATTAATAGAATATCCAGTATGGTGGCTTCATTATCATACCCCAAAATGAAGACAGACAAGGAAAATATACATAGTGACGGATAACTGTAAAACACAGCGAATGATCTATAGCTAGTGACAGAAGCACTGGAGCCCAACAGGCAATACTCTGTCACTAAAAGGGAGGCAGGCCTTCGGGAAAGAACTGAATTGTGTATTTCTAGTTTAGATTATTCCAGATTTCCCCATATGCAGTCAAGCAGAAAACAGAAACAAGCAAAACACAATGCTCAAAATCCGAGATGGAGCTATAAGGGCTGGAGCCCTTTACGTGATCTGTTACCTGTAACCTCCAAAAGCCCCCCAAGCTTTGTGTATATAACATCTCCAGCGCAAGATATGGACTGAGACTCTATGCAGAAAAGGAAGTAAAATACTTGTCCAAGAATGAGTCTGCTCTCAACTCTGGTTCTGGAACCCACCCCCTAGAAAGTTGGGTGACCTCATTTTTAGGGGCCAGTGCAGCAAACAGAACCAGATGCATAAACATAAGAAGCAAAACAACATCATCAACAAAAAGATCCATTATTTGAAATTTCTCAAGATGAGTTCATTTCTCCTCTTTCTGCCTTAGTCCCTGGCATTTGAATTAGTTTGATGAAATGTTGAAATCTGTAATACTGGCTTTAAAATATGAGCTTCACCACTAGACTGTATTCTGGGTACCATCTTAAACTTTAACATTAAATGAAGACCCCTAAAAAAAGGAAGAGAATGGCTCAGAAAAACCGTTCAGAGCATCTCTAAACATAACGGACAGCTCACCCTTATGGGGAAATTCTGTGTGCTCAGTAAAATTGCTTCTCTAGTTGCCTGTACATCTAAATGTTCTTGAACTGGTATTTCTATTGTTTTTAAATGTACATTTGTTAAAATACTAGCCGAGTCCACTTGGGAAATCTTGAGTAGAAAATGTGACGAGTTCCTGACTGTGTTCCCTGACTGTGTCATCGGGCTGCAGACTAGCCAGAATGTTCCCCGGGAGATGAAACCTGAAAATGTTGGTTTCCTTACAAACCAATTTCCTGTTCAATTTGTTGGGGAAAAGGAATTTTGTTGTGTGTGTCAGTGCTGCTGACAAACTGAGACGCTGCAGCAGCAAAGGAAACAACAGATCCCAATATCCCCTGGCTGCATTAACGTCAGATTTTTCCTTTGTATGGCTAAGTCTGGAAGATAAATATTATCCCCAGAATCCCAAGGTAATGCCACATCCACCTTCTTAAGGCTTTTGCTTCCTTCTGGAGTTAACCCCTACTAGAATTCTTTTCTCTCCTTCAGGTGCTCAGCAAACAGAATAGTGTGCTCACCTTCTGCTACGGGAGGTGATTCTGGGGCGGAGCACACACGTTTCCACGGTGGGGTTGCTCACTGTGCAGACACAGAAACAAGGGGGACCTTTCTTCCACTTTGGAGAGGATCCTGCAGCCCAGAACTCATGGCAGGAGGGCGATCTCAAGCCATGTAGGCATACACAAACACCCAGGGTCAGGACCCCATGCTGGAGGTCCATGGCACTCCATTTAACACCACCAGGGTGGGTCATGATCTCGTTGGGCACTGCCAAGCTGGTTTTCCAAGCAACACACACACCCACTCAACACAATACAAGCTGCTGGTAAGCCAGAGAAGCGGGAAACAGCTGCTTTGCATCTTGCACAAATGAGCTCCTTGGTTTGTTAATAAACTAAAGGTGGCTTGGGATTATTTGAGTAGGTTAAATGAAGGGAATTCTAGTATCACAGAAAATGCAGGTATTCAACACCGGGTTCCCCACTCTGCCTACAGCACTTTATCCCCATCATCAGTTTCTTCTTCATTCCCCTAGAGGAGAGCGGGGGCAGGAAGGGGTGGGCCCTCTCTTGGAGCAACAGGCCTGGAAGAGGGTGTGTTACTGCTCCCCAGCACCCTCTACTGCCATCTTTTCTGTCTTCCTAGATTTCCTCTGCATCTGCTCTTGTTCCTTCCTCCTCAGCTTCTCTCTCTGCTTCTCCATTTTCTCTTGAGCCTTCCGAGCCTTCTCCAGAGACATCTTCATTTCCTTGAGCTTTTTTTTGATCACTGCTCGGTCCTGCGATGATGCCATTCCAAGAGCCTGGGAAGGAAATATAAGCAAACTGAATCTGAAAACCAGTGACCTCTCTGCTTATGCTGAGGCCGATATCACAATATGTTCTAACTCAATAATTAATTGAACCACAATTGTGGTGAAAACTAAAGAAGAGCTGATTACATTTGCCAAAAATTTACAAGCTTTTTTGTTCTTTTGTTCTTTGAAGTCCCTAGCACAGTATGCCCTGAACCTCGCTAAGTCATGCTTTCCATATTGATAATTAATGGGTGAATGAATGAAAAAAGATCACAATTTTGCTTCTCCAACCTGTAGGTTGTAGACATTTACAGGAAAAAGAAGGGCAGGAAGAATCAACATGGCTTCCTTTCTGCCAATATACACATTGACAGTGAGGACCCACGATGTATTCAGCACCAGAATGCTCAAGGCAGCAGACTAGCCATGGGTTCCCTGTAGACAGACCTATAAAGGAAGCCTGATTATAATGAGAAGGTTGCTCAAATTAGCTCGGAATTCAGAATAAGGGGAGTTGGTTGCATAGTATATTAAATGCTTTATGACCTTCAGCATCAACAGCAGGATGCATCCATCTCCCCAAGGGGACAACCTTGTCAATGGACCTTCATATTTACAGGCTATTCATTGATCTCTACCCTTTTCAAGATTGTCACGCAATACTCATCTGCCTGTCCTCCCAGCAGGGGCTGAGGTCAGGGGTGGAAAGCCGGCTGTTAGCTCCTTTCGCCCTTTCTCCGCAGGGATGGGCGCCACCTCAGCCTCTAAAGAGATGGACTGGACAGGTGGACATGAGAGAGCGATGGAGGGGGAGGGGAGACACTGCCGCACGTATTTGGGGAAGAAAGTTCTGGGGAAAACATCATCCCGGTTTTGGAGCGGTCCCTGGTGTGCAGGGACGAGTCGGGATGGAGAGGAGACACGAATAAAGAAGGGCAAGGTTAATGGATTTGGGTTTTAACTCTTACGTGATGAAAGAGCCCACATTGGCCATTATTAAAACTCATACTACATAGAAGTAAGTAGAGTTAATACATGGGCCATGTGTTGCTAGGCAGAAGCAATGGAGTGAGTCCCTCCCTCTCCTACTCAGCAGCCTACTCGTTAGATCCCCTAATGACTTTCTGAAACTTCGTTTACTACTCAAACAATCCACCGTCCTTTCTGCTGACGGTTGATGAGAATTACCTCTCCCATAGGGAGAATGCTCTCATTTAATGAAAACATTTTAGGTGCTATGAGCAATACAAATTACGCTTGGTAACCTAACACAGACAGATATAATTCTTTACCTTCAGTTTATTTCCATCCAACTGCAGGAGTTGCTCTCCAGTGATGTTTTGGGCACTGAATTCAGATACATACTGCTCCAGATTTAGGCTCATGAGCCAGTGAGAAACCTGCTGCACACTCCACTCCTGAACGGCCCGATTCTGACACTGACTGTGCTTGGGAGACTGTCCGTCATCAAGGATCTGAGTAGGAATGTCACGCAGTGTTGTTAAAGGGCTGAAGTGCTGTGGCTCAGCATGGCATATTGCGCTATCTATCCAAGGGAATGTCTTGCCTAGTAGAGCCTTTATTTCTAAACCATAGAATGATAAGCTAATGGGTCTCGCTGTGTATGTAATGCACACACACATTTACTACCTACATGTTTTTAGATGCTTGGAAATCTAAAAACTCCCCTAAATAAAACAGCATTTTCAATGCAGGAAGTTTAATATTGACAAATCCACTCTAATGTTGCAAGCTTTTACATGAAAACACTTTGGAAGGATTATCAGATGCAGAAAACAAATATATCATTAATCCCTATAGACAATCCATCCCTCTGCATTTCTCCTCTGCTAGGACAGTAGAGATATGTAAAAACACATTTAAAAGTATTGTGGCATCTTTCACTTAGAAGAGGAGAGCATTGAGCCCTCAGGTATTTTTAGGGGGAAATTTCACAGCCGTTATTTCATTTGCACGGCAAGCAAATCCGTGAGGGCAGTGGGGCAGGAGGAATCCATAATCACTTTTAGTAAACGAGGAAACTGAGGCTCTGAACACCCACAGATCTGCCCAGTGCAGACTATTTATTACTTTTAACAGTGCAAAGGGCAGGCTGGTTCCTGGAACCACTATGCTGAGAGGCGATGAGGCGATGATGGGTCTGGGAGGAGAGACAGAAACCACCTCAGTGAAGGGCAGAGGACAGAAGAGGGGATGATGGGTAAGCCGAGATGAAGGCAAAGGAGGCGAAACAGAGGGAGCTGGGTCAGTCAGGTAATGGTGATGGGGACACATCACGGGACTCTGGAAGTGGGATCTGGAGGTCCTCTTGACTCAGGAATATCTTTTAAACTGAGACATAGACCAGGGCAGAGTGAAACTACATAACACAAGGAAGACCCCGCCCCCACTGCAGAGAAAAGCACTCTTGTGTTGTTTGAGTTTTCAATAATCTGCAAAGAGAGAAAAGGTTCAAACAAAATAACAAAAACCACTGTACAGCCCATTGGAAGCTCACCTCGTCATCTATCATATCCAGGCTCTGAGCGAGGGAGCAACAAAGGAATCAAAGAGAAACATGTTACACAAACAGGACACACAATATATACAGTACAACGTCTTAGAAAATTAAAGTCATGTTGAGTCTGAAGAATATGGGCAAAAGAGTTTAAGAGAAAAAAATGTTTTACAAAACAACATGTTAGAAAGAAATAACTAAGAACGCATATTTAGAGCAAAACTATCTTTACTTACAATGCCTCCCTCCCACCCTCCCTTCCACCCCAATAAGACATTAGAGATATGTAAAAGCACATTTAAAAGTATTGTGGCATCTTTCTGGTATTTCTTTCTTCGCTTTATCCCTTGGGGCACTAAGTCCATCGCTAGTGTAATTTCCTGCCTCTCTTGTATGTATTTATCTCCTGAGCATTCCTAGGAGTGCTCAGGAGATAAATATATACTTTGACCCTCGCATCTAAATCAGTGGTCTTACATAGTTGTCCTTCCTTCTCAGAATTGTATCTCTCCCCTTTTCACTGCAGTGAATCTTAATCATGGGCCACACCCAACTCAGAAGAAATATCAGATTCTTCGGGTGGGGGTGATGGTGGGAAAGGTGAGGGAGAAAAGCAAGGGCTACTTGGTGACCGCCGTGAGATTTCTGAGCTGTTCCCCACTTTTGCTCTCCAGTGCCCAGCCTCCCGTCCCCACACCATTGCTGAGAGGCATCGCACTGGAGTCAGAGAAAGGCCTAAGATATAATATACAGTGAGGGATGGCTCCGAGGGCCTCCGAAACAACAGTTAGCTTTCATGTTGAGACAGAGAGGGAGACACAAATTTCCTAGCAGAGATCATGGTTCCAGTGATCTACCATGCAAAGTCTACCTCACACATTGCCCTGTGACAGCTCACGGGTAGCACGAATGCCTGGAATAGCAGTTCTGTGAGGGACATGAGCATACCTCATCTGACGACAGCGCTAGGGACTGAGAGAGCCCCGGGGTTCTGGGCTCCGCTCCCAGGCCACTCAGGTCTGCCGAGCTGGTGCTACTGGGACTGAAGTCATCGTTGAAGGTAAAATTCTGTAACAATAAACGAAGCTCAGTGTTAAAAGGGCACCGTGAAGGAACCCAAGGTAGGTGTGTTTGCGAGCTCTAAGACGGTAACTTTGAAGTAATCTTAGAAGTTGACTTTGGGGCCGGTGATGACCTTCGGCTGTGCAGTGTCGGACACTGCGCCTGCGGTGAATGGGGAGCTCTGAGCGCTTCTCTGCCGGGGGAGAGGATAGGTGTTTTGGAGTAATGACTCTGCAGTCTCTCTTCAAGGGTGCAGCATTCATTATCCTCTGCGACTGCTCAGAGGAGTGATATTAATGAGCCTATCTTCTTTGACCCTAATGGTGATGAGCCACAGTGTAAGTAAAAAAATACAAGGTGGTGTGGAGAGCCTGAGTGATTAGGAACAGATGGCAATCCATATTAGAAAGGTAGTCGAGCACCCCGGAAGGTCCCCACTGGCTGTGATAAATGCTGTGGGGGATGGCAGATCCTCTCCAGGATGTGACCTTCAAAGACGATGGATTCTGGGGGAGGTCACAACCTCACTGCACGACCTGCTCAAGTACAGCTCTCACGTGGCAGTGCTATGCACAGACACACATTCCCAAATAGTTACCTGAGGGTCGGAAGAAAACTTCCCCAGAACCTCATTAAAATGTTCAGTGGATATTAAAATCAAATGCATTCACAATGACTTCAGAGCTGCCTTAGTGAAAACATTTTAAGCCACACCTGGAGTCTCTGCAGTGTAAGATAACGGTAGAATTATTTGAACAACACTGAGATATAGCAGACCCAATGCTGAAAATGCTTCAAGGCCAAAGTGGTCTATTGCTGTCAAAACTTCTTTTCTAGTTGCTTCCCAGGGATTTAAAAAAAATATATATTTTATTGATTTTTTACAGAGAGGAAGGGAGAGAGATAGAGAGCCAGAAACGTCGATGAGAGAGAAACATCGACCAGCTGCCTCTTGCGAACCCCCCACTGGGGATGTGCCCGCAACCAATGTACATGCCCTTGCCCGGAATCGAACCTGGGACCTTTCAATCGGCAGACCAACGCTCTACCACTGAGCCAAACCGGCTTCGGCTTCCCAGGGATTCTTAAGAACTTGGCCAAACCCCATCTGTTTCCTATCCCACTGCCTTAGAGATTGGACTGCCAGTTTTCCATTAGGTCCTCTTGTACCGGGTTAGCTGGCTGTCAGGAATGCCATGCCAGAGGCCAGAGAGCTCAGTTACCAAACAGACTGCAGGGTTTGCTGGATGCTCAGACAAGACTGAATCAGAGCACAGAGCTGGGCTAGGAGAGCATTTAGGCAGAGGCATTCAACACAGCGCATTAACATTTGACACTGTCAGTGGAAACACAACCCCAAAACCCGTTAAAACCTTGTGAGCTGTTGACCACAAGAAAAGAATTAAATTCAAGTAACTTGAACCCCATGTGTCTGTTTGAGAAAGAAAAGTGAACACAGATAAAAGGAGACCACACAACATGTGAAAGTTAGCCACTGCATGTGTTTCAATAAAATTAGGTAAGGTTAGGTAAAGTTTGCAGTGTCATGCTGGAAATAACCATCATGCATTTAAAAACGAGTAGCATTATGCACAGACTTCCTAATTCTGCTCAAGTTAAAGAACTTTTGTGACAGAATTACAACAGCTGTTCGACATGGACGCTTGATTTAAGAGAAGAAATAAGTAAGGATGCTATGTCAGCATTGGTTTGTTTTAGAGAGTTTCATTTAGATGAACTGAACACATATCCAGGCCCAAATTTATCTGTTTTCCAGTAAATCTTGACGAGCGCAGCAAAAATAGTTTGGTAATGTAATTTAAACTGGAATGCTTGGTAAACAGATTTATCACACTGTGCCGTGATTCAAATGCATCTTTCCCAGCATGGTTTCACTGTCAAACGGAGATTAAATAGCAATATGTGAAAAAGACAGGCAAATCGAAGATTAACACACAATCTAGCAGAGACCAGTATTAAAGAAGGTGATGGTTAAAGGGCCTTTCGGTTCCCCACACAGGAAGTACCATGCACGGTTTATTGCAGTGTTATTATCACATTGGTTTCTTGGATCCAGAGCATACACACAGGTTGAGAATGCTTCCCAGAGATTGAAGAGGAGGAAGAGATTTGGAGGTTTTCTCGTTTGCGTTTCTAATCCAAGTGTTTTCTACCTTGGACCCCTTTTTATCTGAAATTAGTGTTTCAGGAGAAGGCTGGAGGGGACTTGGAGGTGAAGGCAGGTTCCTGAAGGAATAGGATCCTTTCCGGCTCTCTTGAAACCAGGAGAAAGGCATGCAAGGTGAGCGAGGGGAGGCCGGCGCTGCAGCAGAGGGCTTTGCTTTCCAATGGTCCAGCCTGCCTCTGAAGATCCTGTTTCATGAAAAGAATGGGGGTGTTAGACAGAGAAAGGGAAGATGAGAAACTGACTGAACTGGACTCTGTCGGGGCTCTGAACACAGTTTGAAGTAGCAATTTGAGAAGTTATCCTACACAATAGATACTCGGCCCCCCCCCCCCCCCCCCCATTTTTGACTGGAACATTTATCCTAATCATTATTATGATTTTGCGTCTAAATGGATTCTGAAATGACAGACATTTTGTACTGCTATGTCCATGGGAAATGTGCCTAATACATACATACATACACGGATGGGCAAAAAGTTAGGTCTACAGTTATTTGTATGGAAAAATAACATAGTAATTAATAAATAGTAATGCAAGAATAAACCCTGTGTTTCATGGACTCACAGCTGTACACTTACTTTTGCCAATGCCTGTGGATGTGGATAAATTAACATGAGCGAGAAGCGTGTCATTTAGGAGCTGCTGTCATCATAGCATCCCCTCCTTGGGGACACACATCAGTGCCTCACTGCTGGTCACTTCAGCTCCTGACGAGCATTCTTTCCTGGCCTCAGGTTCCCAAGAGTCTCAATTTAAGAATATGATATGCTTAGATAATCTGGGAATTTCAGGGCTCAGGATACTTTAAGCAGAACATACACTGCGTTGGTTTTTGCATCATAATCTTAGTGCCTTTTTACAGGAAGAACACCAGACATGAAGTCTTAATGCTCTGCTTGGAGGTCAGGTCTGCCACTTTCTGAACCACGGGCCTTCACTCAGCCTCTATTTCTTACCTGTGAAAGGTGGATGTTTTATGTATCTCATATGTGGTTAGGAATTAAATGAGACAGTATGTGTAAAAAGTGCTTTGAAAACTATAATGGTCTATGCTTATTGTTTAACATTCAAAGGATTCAAAGGCCTTTGAGAACACCATTTGAAAGCTTATTTTTCTTAATATCTTGCATATTTATACTTATATTTTGGTTAGAGAAAAATAGTTCTTAGGAACTGAGGCAGGAATGGGCAGTAGTGTCTGCATCTTGGAAGAGGTCACTCTCAAAAATGTTCAAATGATCCTTGATGCAGTGCCCACAATTTGTTAACTGCTGATGTCATGACAACAAGGAGATTTCCTTTCATTTAAAAGTGACAACACCTTAGCTAGACAGCTAATGTTGGACATGGATCCTGAATTTCAATCTTCTCACATCTCATTTAAAATACTTGGAAATATTACATGTTTCAAATTTACATAAATAGTATAACTCCTAACAATTTCTGTTCATTTCCAAAGATTATTGAGAGAATCAAATGGGACAATAAATATAAAAACATAAACTGTACAGCAATGTATAAATGTAAGGGGATTGTAAGAATGATAATTAAAGAGAATGAAAATCAGTTTTGGAAGAATACTGTTGGGGGTGAAAAACTGTTGGGCACACTAAAGTTCAAGAAAAGGTAATGATTTTAATGGTGAATTTCTTTCTTTTTCTTTTCTTAGTGAATGGGAGCCATTCAACTTTTATTTTTTATTTCTTTTTTTGTTGATTTTTGGAGAGAGTGGGAGGGAAAGAAAAAGAGAAACATTGACAGGACAGCAAAACATCAACTGGCTACCTCCTGCATGTTCCCTACCAGGGATGGAGACCAAAATCCTAGATTTGCCCTGACCAGGACTTGAAATGGCAACCTTTCAGTGCATGGGACCATGCCCAACCAACTGAGCCACATCAGCCAGGGCTAAATGGTATATTTCTTAAAATGACAACAAAAACAACAACAAAACCACAAAGGAATCTGCAAGAATAACAGGGAAAGACTGACCAGAGAGGGGCCAACTTTCAATTTCATCGTAAAGCTTAAGTACAATGTTGTATCCTTATACCCACCTACTTCTTATCAAAAGAGGAGGAGAGAGTACAATAACTGAACATCAGGAGACTGCTAATGCCTGCTGGCAGAGGCACATAGGTCTTCCGTGGAAGTGCTTTCTGCTCCTGGGTCGTGGACAGTCTGGTAAGAATCACTGGGGCAGCTGTTCAAATGCAGATTCTTGGACACCCAGTCTAACTGAATTAGAATTGTGAGAAAAGACGGGAGGAGTTGACCCGGAATCTACTTTAAGGCATATCTCAGCTAACTCTTAAAAATTTTAATGTCTATGTTTATTAATATTATCCTGAATGCAAATATGAGGCTTTTGGAACAGAATAGGTTATTACTTACTTACATAAAATGATTGCACTGGTTCCCCATACCGTAATTTTCTCTCTCTCCATAATGAGAACCAGATGTCCTAAACTTGGTCTACACTGTAGGTGAGAAATTTAAAAAATATGAATCTGGACGGTTATATAGGAGAGGGCCAGCTGTTCCTGCCTCGCCTCTGAGCGAGGGAGAGAAATCCTATCTCCTCTATGTAAACAAATTCAACTTGGGAAGGATCTTGGTTTCTCAGCCTTTGGAAAGAAATATAAGTCCTGGGGGAGGTAAAAACAAGTTATCTCCAGCTTCACAAGCTTGGGACTGTTTCCATAGAGAGGTCTCAGCCCCTCTCCCCATCCATACTCCTTAAAAATGGAACTACACATTGGGGAGTTGGCTTCTCTGTAGATCTCACTGTCTATCCAGAATTTAACTTCTGAGGTTTGTCTTTTAGCTCAGGCCCTACATTCCGTGAAAAATGTTGAAAAAGCTCTACAATAAAACTATTTCCTCAGCAGTCTCACACTCTTATTAGTGGGCATAGGATTTATTTTTCTTATTTAGTTATACATTTCTTAATCAATCAATCAAATGATGTGGGAAATTCGTTAGGTGTTCCATCCACAATTCAAATAAAACAATGTAGTGCTTTGATACATGAATACTATTTTAAGTTATACATAGGCCATTATCAAAGATAGCTAGACTATCTTTTCCTATTCCCAAGTGCCCTGCCTTTGTAACAACCCTTTTAGAACCATTAACCTTTGCAAGAAATAAGATTATTGGTACCTAATTTTTGTCATTCTAATGACTTATTTGGAAAAGACTTTGGGTAGTTCAAATCCTGGCCAGGCAACATTTCAAACAAAATCTGAAGACCACATCTAAACGCTTCCATAAAATCCTTACTGCCAGGAAAATATCCAAGACTGATCATTCCAGATGCACCTGGCCATCCAATGCAGAAGCAGGCCTGGAGGCCACAGTGGGAGTGTGATGAAGGAGGGGAGAGAAGCTCAGCCTCAGTGATATCCAGAGGCTTTCTCCGACAATGAAGACAATGGAAGGCACAGAGGAAAAGTCATTTAGAAAGCAATGCAAGCCCACATCTAAGGAGATGGCCATGTCCTCACAGCTGTAAACCACCAGGTTCTGGGGTTTTCTGAAGAATATTTCCCAGTTCTCCAGGAGGGCTGGCTGTGCCCCTCTGAGGCTGTATCCTATCTCCCTCCTTTATGTGTGTATCCTTGATTCTAACACCCCCTCCTTACACTGATGCAACCCCAGTGTGTTTGCCAGTATCCACAAAGAGCTGAACAGGCATGCTTCCATTTGCTTGGACCTTGAGTAGAGAATGTTCATCTTAAAAAAGTGAACTCTCCATTACTTTAAACGCATAGGCCCATCAGCTTTCCAGACATGCTTTGTAAAATAAATGCCAATTTCCTTCCAGATAAATTGAACTATTGAGTCTACAAAAGGAGCGCAGGAGTTTTGGTAACAGTTATTCTATTATGGACCACTCTTACAGTCTATTGCACTTGGTGGAGAAATGCATTAAGTTTAAGGTAAAATTTTTCCTTCCCTCCTTTCCCTTACTCCTTCCTTTCTTAACATTTTTTTACGCTCAGGACAGGTTAGGGGCTAAGGTACTAACTCTATATTCATCCTTCATAATCCCCTTGAAAAATCAAGATCAGTGGAAATAAATTCTTAATGGATCTGAAAAGAGTTTCTAGGTATGTGCTCTGTTTTCCTTCACAGCTTGGACACTAATGGCTCATTGTCATTTTGGGAAAAAATAGAATCAAATCATAGCTATATTTCTGATTATTGTATTATTAGGAACTGGAAGGAATTAAGTCTCGGTAATAATAAAATGTCAGTTGGGGTTGGGTGATGAGGTGGGAAAGTAAGTTTCCTGGCAATTAAATGGTTTCTAATTTACAACTCTATAGAACAATGAACTCATTTATATACATCTTGGAACTGGATTAACCTGGGGTTAGAACCCCAAAAATAAATTGCTAAGGTAAACACTCGATGGTGATTTTAAGGGATTGGTTTTAACTTTGAATACAAGGTAAGTTAGGGCACATACCTAAGGTTGTAGGTACAATCCCTGGCCAGGGTGCTTATGGGAGGCAACTGAACCATTTCTTTCTCTCTCTCTCTCTCTCTCTCTCTCCCTTCCTTTCTCACTACACCCCTCTAGAGTGATGCATTTATTCCCAGTTTCCTGCAGCTGCTGTGCGACCTTGGGGCTAACGGTCCTCAACACACACCTACCTCCAGGGTCCCAGGAAGCCAGCTCAGCTGCACTAGGCTCCCACCTGGCAGTAATTGTCCTTTCTGGAGTACCTTTTGTAAGGTTCTGGAACCATTATCAATCTATTTAGAAGAACAAAGGCTGCTATTTGGATTTGATTAGTGTTAACCAAATTACTGTGATAGCTCAAAAAATTACCTTTTTGAAACAGAAAAAGTCTCTCTTCTTCACTATTCTACTATTTTCATTAGATGAATTCCTTTCAGTTGTCAGAATTCTACTATAATTACAAATAATTTGAAAATGATGATCCTAATTTAAAACTATTCTATAACGTTGGCACACATGGAACCACCTGTGATGACTGAGCAGAGACCGCAGGGCTAGTGTTGTAAAGCTGCAGAGCTGGCCAGGCAGCTGAGAGGGAAGTCTGGCTGGTTCAAAAGCTGGCATTAGCTGTGATGAGACAGTGTGCACATGACAGTCTGCCATCAGCCACCCAAGGTTTTGCATAGAGCCGTGGTAGGCAAACTGCCGCTAGCGAGCCAAATACGACTCTTTACTCCCTTGAGTGTGGCTCTTCCAAAAATGCCATGGGCTGGGCGAGTCTATTTTGAAGAAGTTTAAAAAATTTGGCTCTCAAAAGAAATTTCAATCGCTGTACTGTTGATATTTGGCTCTGTTGACTAATGAGTTTGCCGACCACTGGCCTAGAATAAGTGAGCACTCACCAACAGAATCCAGATGTGCTTGCTTTTCACCTGGAATTTATACAAAGTGGTAATACTCTGGCTACTGCCATGACATTCACTAGAACCTTTCATGCCTGCCGAATGCCTGTGGTTCTGCCCCTTTTAGCCTCAAAAGTGAGAGGGAGTGACCACCTCAAAGGCCCAGAGAAGAAAGAGAGAAACTCAGAGGTGTCTGAGCTTCTTTCCTTTAAACTGGTTCATTACTTGTTTCTTTTATTTCCTCTAAGCATATTTGATAGTTTTCTACTCTTAATTTTAAGGCACAAAGTAGACTTTTGTATTTCTCACTCTAAAATCACACAAAGTTAGTAAGTCTCTTTTGAGTTGCATTATGGTCTTATTTTAACTGAGATTGTTGACCCCCTTACAAACAAAACTTTCTACCCTTTCTCCATATTACAGCATAAAGGAAACCCAACCAACAAAAGTAATTAATTTGGAACTCTCTCTTGTCATCCCCCTCCCAATTTTTCTGTAATCCCAGGGAGAAGGTATAACTTCTCACCACATGGTATACCAGTAAAAAAAAAAAAAAAAAAAGGAAAACAAGGGAACAGCAGAGGACAACCTAGAAAATGGGCAAATGGTCCCCCAATGATTTCATAGTATTTTATTCTTAGCATTTTGCCTGTATCTTTCTTACTGTGTGCTTTTGAGATGATTCCCAAATTTCATAAAGAAATATAAGTCAGTCAAAGACAAATACCATATGATTTCACTTATATGTGGAATCCAAGGAGCACAATAAAAGAACAAACAAAATAGAAATAGACTCTTAGACACCAAACAGAATGACAGTTGTCAGACTTGTGGGGCTAGGTGAAAAAGGTGAAGGGACTGAGAAGTACAGATTGGTAGTTCCAGAATAGCCATGGGAATGGAAGTACAACTTAGGCAACATAGTCAATATTGTAATAACTAAGTATGGTGCCAGGTGGGCACTTGAATATCAGGGGACCACTTTGAAAGTATTGGATTGTCTAACCACTATGCTGTATACCTGAAACTAGCACAAAATAATATTGAATATAAACTGTAATTTTTTAAAAACCAACCATTAGATGAGTAAGTACTTGAAGATGACAGGAATTATTGGAAAGACATCTGGACACTTAAAAATATCGAGGGGACCACTTTGAAAGTATCTGATTGTCTAACCACTATGCTGTATACCTGAAACTAACACAAAATAATACTGAATATAAACTGTAATTAAAAAAAAAACAAAAACAACCATTAGATGCGTAAGTACTTGAAGATGACAGGAAGTATTGGAAAGACATCTAGATAGGAGACACAAGCCCCAGCTAATGGACATCAATTGCCTATTGCACAGTCCTGGGGTAATCAATTCAATGATACAGAGGCTTCACCTTCATTGGTAAAGTATGGTGTTATTATCAGCCCTTTAGGTCTTATTGTAATGACCAATGATAAATGTGAAACTTCTCTGTAACTTGCAAACAATAATAATAGCAGGAAACTGTTATCTTTATTATTATTTTTATAATAGCTTCTATGTGTCAGGTAGCATTTTAAACGTTTACATGAAAACTCACTTAAGCCTTACACTAAATGGGAAAATGGAGACACAGAGGCTAAATAACTTGTCCAAGATTTAAAAGGTGAGAGCTCTGATTCAAACCCAGGCAGTCGAACTTCAGAGCTCTATGCTTTACCGAGCTGAGTTTGAATGAATTATCACAGAAGGGAACTGGGAAAACTTGAGAACATGCTGCGAAAGCCCACTTCTCTAAAGGAAAGTCTTTACAGTGCAGAACGAATAGTTGACAGGGCTACCAACAAACAGCTGATTCCAGCAGGACACGGTCATCATTCTTATATGTGTGGGAATTCAACTGTCTTGAAAGCCAATAGGTACTTAATACCAATTGGCATCATTATTCTGTATTTAAGTATTTGGTGAAAATTCTGCAATTAAGGCAATGAATATTCCAAGGCCCAGTATAGGCTTTAGTTGGAGTAAGACATAGAAATTGTGAAATTTTTCTTTCATCTCACTATAGGTACACTGAAGATCCTGGCCACTGATTTTGGTGAACAGTGGGAGGGGGTCAGGGAGTTTAGCTATAGAGATGAACCTGTTTCCTCCATCACTCACCCGTACCTGCTACTTGGAGAAAACCTACTGGCTTCTTTTTCTTTTTCTTTCCATTTCTTTCCCTTGTTGGAGTTCCTTCGCAATGGTGCCCTATAAAGGCAGACACATTCAGAAAGGGAAAGCGGGCATGCTCTCTTTTAGTCCTCCTTTTACAAAGGGCTTGCCTTTCACATCATGAAGTGCTTACCCCAGATCCACAAACTTCCGCTTAATTTTCCCTCCTTGCACCGCCAACGAACTGGACGCCCTTAGTGATTTGGGATCTTTGGCACCGTCTAGAATATATACATACGTAAAGAAAGACCAGTTATTATTATTTGTAAAGCTATGAGTCAAAAGTAATTGCATCTCTGAAGAAATCTGACTCAATTTCTAATGGATGCCTTTTTAAAAAAAGATCTAAGAAACTTCGCTATGCTAAGGAACATTCGGTTAAGCTAGAAGATGTCCTGATGGATCAAGGACAAAGAGCTTTAGTTTCAAAAATATTGAAATGGCCGAAACTGGTTTGGCTCAGTGGTAGGGCGTCGGTCTGCAGACTGAAAGGTCCCAGGTTCAATTCCGGTCAAGGGCATGTACCTTGGTTGCGGGCATATCCCCGGTAGGGGGTGTGCAGGAGGCAGCTGATCGATGTTTCTCTCTCATTGACGTTTCTAGCTCTCTATCTCTCTTTCTTCCTCTCTGTAGAAAATCAATAAAATATATTAAAAAAATATTGAAATGAACCAAATAAGGAGGAATAAACACTATCAAGTTATCCCTTACATTAACAGCAGGGACCAACATAACTTTCCTTTTGTTCTATCTAGTTCTCTTTATCTCTAGGATCCGTACAGAAAGCAACCCCTGAGAGTAAGAGAGATTAAGAGATTAAGGGAGAAGGTGATAGGCAGAGCTTTCCCTTCTGGTCCACTGGCCTGTGGCCAGTCCGGGGACAGAGGAAGGCAGAACTTGGGGAAGACTTTCTTAAACAGGGGCTCAGCTCTAAGACATCGATCTCTCTGAAAGGTCTCTCTTTGAAGTTGGGTTGGAGCATAACTTGGCCGGCCTCCTGTAATGGCAAAGTTGCCAAGTGCTCCTCAGTGTTTGGAGCTGAATGACCTTTGCCCCCTGAGTTAAGCTGGCACTCTGAATGGCAGCAGCTGCTGGGGATGGGCACACTCAAAATAAAGCCAAAAACCAATCAGTGGAGAGAGATTCTGCGAATGGAGTTCAATATTAAATGTAGGAGACAGAGTTTACCGGTGCAACTCATTCCACTCTGGACAAGGTGGAAAACTCCTAAGGCTCTACCTGGAACCATTTAGCAAAGGATGCTGTTTGGTATTATCTTTCAGCATATCCAGTTATCTGAGATGATTAGCAAAGGGTGCTTTAATATTAATGCATATGAGAGTGTGAAACTACGCCTCCCTAATTACTGTTGTCTATCTTTATCTCTTTAAAATTTAAAAACTTCCAGCAACTTCCTGGCATAGAGCACCGAGAGAATAGTCCTCCTAAGAAAGTGTTCAATTAACCATGTAGGTTTATTTTATTTATTTTAGGAGAAATTTCTTAACATGCATCCTTGCAAAACACACAGTTCTCATTTAGGAGTCTATATTCAAAGCTCTAAAGAAGCACATATTAGCAAACATTCTAAGGGTTCTTCTCAATGAACTTTTCATATTTTTTAGTTAATGACACTCAGATTACAATAATTCCTTGAAATGTAGGTGATAAAATACAAGAGTCAGAAATATATCCATGTCCAAGTCCACTTCTAATCTGAAATATTTATTATGAGTATTTGCATCATTACTCTTTGGGTAACTAAATTAATCAGCCACAGATGTGACACAGACACAAGGAAAATCCATGGACATGGCACAGATACCTTCTGAGGTGGTTTTGCTAATGGACATTAAAAAAAAAAAAAAAAAAAAAAAAAAAAAAGCAGAATTTCAATTCTCCTAAGAGAAGCCAGAGAAAAGAAAGTGTTGGATCCTTCCAGATCAATCTTAAAGTAACTCTTAATGGCTAGTACTGTACAAAGTTAAAAAGAAGACTATCTGATTATTTTCTGAATTAGAGGTAGCTGAGATGGGAAATGTTTTAACGAGTGGTGAGAGGACCAGATGAGACAATGTACTTGGATGCACTTTGTGACCTATTAAGAGTTGCAGTTACTGGACCTCTTGGGACTAAAAGCCCGATTATACCCATCACAGAGCCTGCTGCTAGGTAACCTCACATCATTATCTCACACATTTGCCAAAGTGTGTTCCACGGAACACTTAATGTGAATGCCTTCAAAAGATTGAAGAGGCAAGATTAAGTAACAATACACTTTCCCATTTCAAATCAATCAAATACCTTTTAATGAACATCAGAACCTCTAGTCTACATAAAAAGCAACATTGGATCGTTATGATTTCAGGGGGGAAAAATAGAAATGTGACCTTTTTGTTTGTTTATTTAGCTGTATGTAAAATTCTACTAGGCTTTTTGAAATCTCTCCAACTTCCTTCCTGAGCAATCAGAAGTCTGCTGACCTGGTCCTCATTTCCAAAGGCACTGAAAGAACTCCTGACAGCTAAATATGGAGGCTTTTATGGACTTCATTCTCCTCCACCTCAGGGCAAAAGACTCCTGATTACCTCCAAGGCCTGGCTCCTCTCTTGAGTGTACAATCTCCTCTATTACAAAATGAGATGATCATCTTTCCCCCATAATATTTCTGATTTCCTATTTTCTATTAAAGACAAAACCATATTTTCTGAGGCTAGAAACCTGTGATAAGTTTTGACCCCCTCACTTTCTCCCCTCTATGTCTAGTCAACGTCTGTGTCAAAGGTTCTTGCATCTTCACCGCTCCTCTTTAGTTAGAGGAGATCCCCTCAGAGTCTCTCCTAACTCATCTTTCCCATACCTAGTGTATTTCATTCTTATTTCTCTGCTCAAACATCTTGAGGTTTCCTAGTAAGGCAAGGTATCTAAGGTATTTAAATTCTATAACTGTGGACTCAACCTACGGTTCAATTTTATGTGCAACCGCTCTTAGCACACATAAACAAACCGCTTCAGGCAGGCTGGGGCAGCATTATTCCTTTAAATTCAGCTTACTTGTGCCAATCTCTGGCAATGCCATCTCTCCCTGCTCAACATACCTTCCTTACCCACTTTCTGCTTTTTTAGTTCCTCCATCGTTACTCTAACTGTATGTTCTTTTTTAACGTCCTATTTGCCAACCTCAGCTGGATATTATATTGCCCTCTTCTGAGCAATGATACAATTTAATATGTATTATTATATATTAATTTAATATTATATATGAAGGCCTAATGCAATATGTTAATAGTAAATGAATCCTGAAAATATTTCTACTTGCCAGGACATTAATTCAACAAATATTTCTGAAGGCATGTTCTGTATCAGGCAATGTGCTAATAGTCACATGTAAAATTAGAATAGTAATCTCTAGGTATCAACGGTAGAAAACTGATAGTGTTTAATTTACTCTACTTAACCTTGTCTGAATAAAGGTCTATTGCTACGTAAGTCTAGAGACCAGCAGTTCAGTATTAGGTTACTCAAAAAATAGGCACGAGGACAACATATTCATGCCTCCTATTATCATATAACTTGTTTTATAAATCTCTAGAAATAGTCTTTTACTTCCTCTAATTTTAACTCAAATGGGATTAAACATTTATCATTTAGCCAATTACAATGAGACTTTTTAAAATCTTAGTTTCCACTAAGATCCCACAAATATGACAACAAAATGATGACTTGCGAATGCAATATTGACTTGAGTTAGAAATCTTTCACTTCAATTAGGTGTTCAATCACACCACCAAGTTATTTTCAGAATTGCAATCCAATATAGCTATAACTTAATCATTAACTTTATAGTAAATTGACAGACCAAAAGCAGTGGTATATTACTGGTTTAAAAATCTAGATAAAGACTAAGACACTTTCAGAGTTTATCTGATAATGTTCAGTGGAAGGAAATTTATGACTAGACTAGGGGATAGCAAGCTCTCTCTGTAAAAAAAAAAAAAAAAAATTAGGTTTGTGGGCTCTTGTCTCTGTGACAACTACTCAATTCTGCTCTTTTAAAAAAAATATTTTATTGATTTTTTACAGAGAGGAAGGGAGAGGGATAGAGAGCTAGAAACATCGATGAGAGAGAAACATCGACCAGCTGTTTGCACACCTCTTACTGGGGATGTGCCCGCAACCAAGGTACATGCCCTTGACTGGAATCGAACCTGGGACCTTTCAGTCCGCAGGCCGACGCTTTACCACTTAGCCAAACCGGTTTCGGCTCAATTCTGCTCTTGTGGCATGAAAGCCAAGATCACCAAACAGAGTGTGATACGCAGAAGACTTTATAAGGGCAAGTGGAGGCTGGATTTGGTGTGATGACCTCTGTTCTAGAAGACCTTCATTGGTTTTCCGCAGAGACATATTTAATTCATCCAAGACACATAGTATGCATCAATTATATGCCTTACTCCTTTGGGGGGGACTAAAAATACAAAGAAGAACATGATGAATGAGAAAACTTTGGCTCATACTTGACAACTAGATCACTCATCATATACAAAGATATAGAAGCAGAAGTAACTGAAAATTTCAATGGGATATAGAGGAGAGTATAATTCCCTCTGCCTGGGAATGGAAAGGGACCCCTGAAAGGAGGCAAGATTTAAGCTGGGCTCTGAAGAAGGACTAGAAATTTCCTAGAATGGTAGATAAGAATGTAAACGTGAAGACTAGTTTGTACTTGTGAGTCCTGCTAAATTCCATTCTAGTTCATTTATTGGTGAGCCAATGACTTGTAAGAACCACGTATATAAACACACAGAGGGAAATCAAGTTAACCATACTTCACCTTTGTGCTGCCTAGGTCTGCATAGTGAATTAGTCTCATAGAACAAGGAACTCCAGGATTTTCCACAATGCTATTCTCCAAATTGGGTTTTGAAAACAACAAAGCTAGATCCTACTCTGTGAATCTATATTGTATTGGAGCTTGAAATGTCATAAAATTGGAAGCATGTGATTTCTCTAATGTTTTAATGATACGGAGGTCCATCTTGGGAACTAGGTAGGCCGAGTCCCTGGGGGACATGAAAGCTATAGGATTGGTGAAACAAGCATTCATCAGTCAGCCAGTCTAATGGGCATATTCCATACATGTATCCAGGTAATTTTAATTTTTTGCTCATTTTGATTTATGAATCTAACAATCAGGAGAGTACAAAAGATATAAATGATGTTGGTTATTATTTCCCAAAGTAAATTAAAAAATTAGTATTATGGTTCTTTCTAAGTTGAACAGCATGAGTCAGTCCCTCTGAACTTGATTAAATCTGGATGCATTATTGAATTTCCAGACATAGAATATTAAGGCCTAGAGTCTTGGCTCTCAAAACACTGACTTGATGAGAGCTTTTGAAGGTTTTCATTCTTTTGGAAGTAGGCCAAGTTACAGTGCAAGACCTTCAACAACATGACAACTACTTTTGATGAATTAGTGAGCTGGACATATTTTCTCTTGCCTCCACTAGCATTTTGTCCTCCCTAAGTATTTAATTTTTATCTCAAAATTTCTAGAAGAGCTGTACTTAGGACCAATCTATGGAAGATAATTCCAGCAACTGACAAGCCCAAGAAGGGAAACCAGGAGAAATATCTGAAGTAAAGCTATGTTGCTTATCAAGAGTTACAAAACAGAGTGAGCTCCCACAATCAACTCTATTTCTATGTTCACTGTGTATTTGTAGAAAGCTTACAATTTTGGATCTGATACAAGATAAATGAGTCTAGACTTTTCAAAAATGCAGTGATTTGCAATCATAGCTGTAATGTAGGAGTGTGTCCCATATCACTGCTGGCACTGGTTGGTGGGACTCTTGAAATGTTTTGGCAATTTGATGGGTATCTAATTTAAATGACAATTTCTCCATCATCTTTTTATATTTTAGACATAATGCAGATCTTCTCTTTAATGAAGTGACAAGTTTATTTCCTTAGCATATTTTTTTGCTTTAAAAAATTACTTGAAGCTATTTGTATATTAAAGTCTATTGGTTAACTTTGTATGTGTGGTCCTTTTATGCTTTTTATCTTCTAAAATCAAGCCTATTTATAGGATAGTTGCAGAGTTTAAAGAAAACACAATAAAATAAACCTCCATTTCATTTGTCATCCCACCTCCACTGCAGTTTATACATATAAAGTCCCCATCTGTACTTCTCTATTTCTACTCCCGACATTCTCCCCATGTAACTTAGCTTTGTCATACCCATTCATAACTTCAATATTATGCATGTATCTCTAAGTAATCTGCTAGTTTTATCTAACTCTATATCAATAGAATCATATATATATATATATATATATATATATATTAGTTTATATTTACCTATAATTTGCTTTTCAATGTCTTTTTCTAGAGATTCACCTTGTTGTAATGTTTCAGTGTGGTTTGTTCATTTTCCTGTCTGCACAGTTCATTATAGAAATATACTACAATTCATTTATCTTTTCTACTGGTGATTATTCGAGTGATTACCAGTTTTTGGTTGTTCCCAGGTTTTACTATTGCACAACAGGACTGCTATGAATATATATTCCTGTACATGATTCTTAGTAGACAAGTGCAGGATTTCTTTTGGATATATAAACAGGTGAGGATTTGCTGGGTAGGGACATTTTCAAACTTACTAGGTAATGCCAAATGATTTCTAAAGAGCTTGTACCCATTTACACTTCCACCAGCAAATATCTGATTTTATGGTTGTCTCACATATTCACCAGCATTTGATAATATCAGATTATAATATTTTTGGCAATCTGGTAGGTATAAAATAGTATCTCATTTGGTGTATTTCATAGTTTCCTGATTACTAATGGAGTTAAACAACTTTTTGTAAATATTACAGGCATTTGATTTTCATTTTCTATAAAGTGCCTTGTTCAAGACATTACACATTTTCCTACTGGATTATTTGTCTTTTTTTTTTTTAGGGCTTTATAGGAATTATTTACACAATCTGGACAGTAATTCTTTGTAAATTACATAGGCAGTAAATATCTTCTCTCAAGTTTTAGGGCTTCTTTATTGGGTCTTTTGAGAAATAGAATGTTCTAGTTTTACTTTACCCATCTTTTCCTTATGGTTTATGCTTTTTGCATCTTGTTTAAGAAAACCTTCCCTATCCTGAAGACACAAAATGTTCTCCTCTATAGTTTTTAAAGTTTTATAGTTTTGTATTATCTAATTAAACATTGAATCCTCCTTGAATGAAATCTTTACATGGCATATGTATATTATAGTTTTTAAAAATATGGATAATCAACTTTCCTAGAACAACTTATTAAAAACTATCCTTTCTCTACCTTGCTACACATGCAACTGTCATAAAATGTATGTGTATATGAAACCTGCTTCTAAGCTCTTTGTCTGTTTATTTATATACCTCTGCATAAACAAAATGCAGAATTAAATAATTCCAGGTATCAGGTAAGCAAGATCCTCCACTTCAGTCTTCTTCAAGAGTTTCAGATACTTTTGGACTCTTTTTCTTTCTTATAAATTTAGTATCAGCCTGTCAAGTTCCACAAAATGTCTGTTGTACTGAATCTCCAGTTAAGTATGGAGAGAAATGAGATTTCTTTCTTGCTATTCAATTTTTTTAAATGACAAAATAATTTTCACAGTGAACAAACATATATCCACCCTCTAGTTTCAGTAACTTCCATTTTGATACATCTTCTTTATCATATAACAATTCCTCTACTTACCTAATAATCCATTAACTTTTAATCCATTAATTTTTAATTGCATTTCAAAGTAAGTTGCAGATACTTCACTCTTATACTTACCATGGAATCGATTTTTACATATTTATTTTATATCTTTTTTTTCAGATGTGAAAGATAATACAGCTGACTCTTGAACAACATGGGTTTGAACTATATGGGTCCTACTATACACATATATATATATTTTTTTTGATTTTGTACAGAGAGGAAGGGAGAGAGAGAGAGAGTTAGAAACATCGATGAGAGAGAGTCATCGATCAGCTGCCTCTTGCACACCCCCTACTGGGGATGTGCCCGCAACCAAGGTACATGCCCTTGACCGGAATCGAACCCGGGACCTATCAGTCCCCAAGCCGATGCTCCATCCATTGAGCCAAACTGGTTTCGGCTATACACACATTTTTAAAAATAAATATACAGTCAGCACTCAGCATCTTCACATTTTGCATCCATGGATTCAACCAACCATGGATTAAAAACAGTATTTTTAAAAAATATATATTTTTATTGATTTTCTACAGAGAGGAAGGAGATAGATAGAGAGCTAGAAACATCGATGAGAGAAAAACATCGACCAGCTGCCTCTTGCACACCCCCTACCGGGGATGTGCCCGCAACCAGTGTACATGCCCTTGACCGGAATCGAACCTGGGACCTTCAGTCCGTAGACCAATGCTCTACCACTGAGCCAAACCGGCTTCGGCTAAAAACAGTATTTTTGATCTGCAGTTGAGAATCTATGGATATGGAAGACCAACTGTATGCCTTATTCTATACCATTTTATATAATAAGAGTTTTGAGCATTCACAACTTTGAGTGCCTGTGGGGAATCCTGGAACCAATCTTCATGGATACCAAAGGACAAATGTAGTTAAGTTGTTGGGAAGTCCAAAGTTATATGTGGATTTTCAACTGTGTGAGGGTCAGCACTCCTAGTCCACATTACTCAAGGGTTACTGTATAACCCGAAATACTTGGTGACTTCAAAGGAACATGTCCGATGTGGCAGGAAGAGGATGAACCTATTCTTTTTTCATCTATGCATCATTTAACTTGTTTACACAAAAATTGATTATTCTATAAATTAAAACATACTATTAAAAAGACAAAAGTGTACTGACACTGCTTTGAAATTCTGGTGTTAATTCTAGACGCTTCTTATAATAATTAGACATTAATCTCCCTACATTACATTTATTAGAGCTTTCTACTACATTTGCATTATAAATTATTATTGTGAAAATTCCTTCTAAGTAAAAACTAAACTAGGAGGCTAATATCTATATCACCTTAATCCATATGCATAAATATATATATTTTTCTATATGTCTATGTTAGCGTTTATTGAAACTCGGCTGCTATTCCACAAATTCTCTAGAAGGCCTCCTGAATAACATCCTTCATTAGTAAACTTGTGGAGAATTGAAGAGATAAAAATACTAACTAGGTAGGAAAAGATAAACATAAATAAATGGAAGAGGAATGTTCTCTTATCCCATAACATAAAAAAAAGCAATATTAATTATTTAGCTGTGAGGAAACAAAGAACTTACAATTATGAGAAAAAAATGTTATTTTTACATTGCAGAAATCAAGGGGTTAATTAGACACAATGAAAGAAAAAAATTAACAGTACCTTTTTCTTGAGATATTTTCTTGGTGGCGGCTTGATGATGGCAAGGAGATTCTTCCATTTCATGATCAGATTTTGAAGGAGAGGAGAGTGAACTGTCTCCCCAAGTAAAGGAGGAAGGCTCCTTCTCTGGGTGCAGGGGTCCTTGAGATTCAGTTATCTGGTCAGACTTGGAGAAGGGCACACTGACAGCCTCGGAAGTGAGGGATGAAGCACCAGAATCTGATTCTGGAGAAGAAGTTCGCAAACCCTTGGGCAGAAGTGATTTGGTAATGTGCATGTGGTTACAGAAACTGTTTGAAGGCTGTCGATATAAGAGATTATAGAGGAGGTTATGCCACTGAGCATCGGTTCCATGTAATACTTACTTTGAAATCAGATCGACCTTATTTTTTGTGAATCCCCATGAAAACCAATCTTATTTGTTGGTTTACAAATGAGACTCTATAGTTCACAACAACTCACCATATTACCATAGTAACTAACACAGACACCCGAGACATATTGGAACAATTATTTGTACATTCATTATTTCCTACTAGGTAGAACCAACTGCTGAATATCAAAAATACCATCATGAAATATGACAATGTAGGTAATGCTCTTGGTTAGTTCACCGAATGAGTATAGAAAGAACTTGAATTACAACAATATATTCAGTTGAGTAAAGATTTTGGAGAGAAAAAAAGTGAACTATTCCAGATATTTCAAATGAGGCCATAGAATCTGGTTGCAGAAAAATCAATAAACTGTAGGAATAAGGACGGAGCCCAACACTGTAATCAGGAAACGGTCAAGGGCACTCACCTTTCGCTCTAGACTGTCTTCCCCGTCTGTTGAACTGACACTATCATAGAGCCTTGTCCTGGAGGGCCTCTGGCGTCGGTTCTTCACGGACAGCTGGGCTCGGGTTTTCAGGGCTTTAGAGTCCAGGCGCTCTGTCTCAGGGACCGCTTCATTCAAGTCTAAGAAAAGATCATTGCAAAAATAATCAGGGAGAGAAAGCTTTGGAGAGGATTGATAAAGAGACCACAGACACTGATAACAAAATCTTAGGGTTATCAGTCACACCAGGCAGGAAACCATGACGGCCTGTGTAATATCCCACAGGTACCCAAAAAATACATTTAAAAAAGGGGAGATCTAAAAGAAGTGTACAAAGCCTTAGGGAGAAAAACCAACACTAAAGGTGGCCAAGGCCACAACAAAAATCTAACATCCAAAGAGCATAAAACCTTCCTAAAGAATAATTAGAAGAGGCACTGATTTGCATTTCCTTATTTATGTGTATGCATGCTGGAGTGTTTGATGAACAATATATAAGGGGGAAGGTCTATCAAAGTTGGGAGATCTTAGAAACTAAGGGAAAAAAACGTAAGCAGGTCAGGTGTCAGGTCAAGCACAGGTAATAAAAAATGAGCATCATTGTAAATTTTCTTAAATTTTCTTTAGCAAAATTTACTAATAGGCTTTTATCTTTTTCCTTTTTTCTTTTCAGAGTGGTAGTCATTAAATGAAACCATGCTGTTCAAGAAATTAATAATTAAGTACTTCTGGGTTTAAATTATTAAAATAAAGCAAATAATGGAGTTGCAAAAAATAAGTACTGATATTAATAGAATAAAACAATTTCTTACAGTAGCAGTACCCCAGGAAATTCCTTATCACAGTGAAGATAAAGTTGTGCTCTGAATATTTTATAAAACCAAAAACAAGTAAGCACCTCAGGTTGTACCTCTTATGTATAAAAGTTAGCAACTGGCATGTAATTCTAACAAAAATATTTTTCCTTACCAGATACATCTGATGAATGATAATATTTAAAGAAGATTTTGACTTCTCATTTCCCATATTTGAAAGAAAAGTGAATATTCAAAAAAGTAAAACCATTCAGCTCTATATAAAGGACAGCTAAATATTTTATAATTAGTAGTCTCTTTATGTTTTTACTTGTCAACAGATAAAAAAATTTCCTTTATCACTTTAATTTCCTTCTTCCAATAAAATCTAAACTTGCAGCTTCCCATGAAGATTTCACCAATTTTGATAACTGTGGAGAATCAACCTTATAAGCTCTTGTTTACATGTAAAACATGGAAACACAAAATAGATGAAAGCAATAATATCACTGGATATACTTTCATACTTGCTTATCTGTTTCATATTTGGATTTTATGTTCTTTGACATGAAGTCCTGTCACATACACCATCTCATGTGTCCTCGCAACAGCTCCAAGTGACAAAGCAGCCAAGTATGCTTTCCCTCTCCTGAGCTCAGAGAACTTGAGTAACTTGCGGTCATCTACATAGCTAGCTGATGAGCTGCTATGACCATTCTAGCTTTTTGGACTCCCAGGCTACTACTCTCCAATTTAGTGTTGAACAAGATACAGAGTAAGATTTTAAAGGCGTCAAGAGTCCAGTATTTTCCACTGTAAAATCACATTTGGTGTGACTGGAAATTCACTTCTCCAACAGGCTATATAAGGACCCTGACCATTAACCTCCCACATAGGTGTTAAGAGAGCATAAAAAAGGGAAGAACATTGAAAATTATAGGGAAAATGATTTCTTATTTGGTTGGTTTAATAATGACTTTGGCTACTTGGTGACAAAAAGACCTAAGGAGGAAGCTCATTCTACTTATGTAAATATGGGTCCTCTCGCAATAGAATCCTGCCTGCAGCGGACCCAGCACAGCACTCAACTCCATCACTAGGTACAGAACAACAGGGCGAGGGAACAGGAGAACTACTTATTAGCAGGGTTTAGACTATAGAGAATTTATTCTGGGACTTCTGACTCCATTACTATTTGGTAATTTACCAGGTCCTGGTGTCAGTCAATCCCCAAATGGCAATTTGGTGCATCTGCTTCAGTACCAGCTAGTACTGACTCGGTTCAACCCGCTGGAGGGCACACATGGAGCTACCTCTTTTAAAGATGAAGCCAGCTGGAACCTGAAAAGCAGTGCCTTAAATCCTTGATCCAAGTGGCCAAAAGCATGAGACCCAATAAACAACTTCTGAGTGTCTGGAAACAAAGAACTCGGGGCCACTCTGTAGTAGTGATTCATGGATTACAAACCAGTCATCCATACTCCAATTGAGAAAAAAGGTTTTAAAGTACAAAAAACTGTATAAATGGAATATATAGCTGATAACATTCACTTCAACAGCTCTTATACCAGAAGGAACCTGGAAGGAATGTTGCCCAAGAGACACCACAAGTAACCCCCCTCATCCTCCTTAGGAGTCTTAGAGGAGACGAGTGAGATAGTAGGAAATGTGGATAGGTCTTCTGCTTCTGGGTACTGGAAGGGATCTGTTTGACCACTATAAGCTATCTTTTCTAGCGAGTCATATAAGAATCAGAATATGATCATTCAAAAGAAGCGTAAAGATTCTAGCCTACCCTTCTTTCTCAGGAAAACTAAAGCTTAAAGGTTGGAAACTTCTCTACAACTGCAACGGATGGTTAGTCTGTGGAAGGGACTATACAGAGTTCAATTTCAGAAGCTTATCCGCCCAGATGGTCTCTCTCAAGTCTGAAAGTAAACCTCACAGGTAATCTGCCTTCTCCAAATCCTCTTTTTAGTCTTACTTTAGGTTTCAAACTAACGTCCAGGGCTAACTTTGCAAATTCCCAGAAATATATAGTGCTAGAAGAAAAAAAAATAAAAATAAAAAAAATAAATAAAAAAAAAAATATATATATATACACACACACACACACACACACATATATATATATATATATATATATATATATATATATATATATATATGGATTTCATTTAGCTTTATATTTATCCAAGAAATAACATTCTTAGTTTGGAAAAAAACACACACAACTATGTAAAAATTTTGTGGATGGTGAGGAGGCAGGAGAAATCTGATGGGCTTCATGATTGAAGCTGTGTGCCACTAAATGTAAGGGTTCGGGTGGCCATGCTCACTCACTGCCATTCATTCTCTACAGAGATCGTAGTCAATAGCACAACATTGCTCTTCTAAAGCAATGGTTCCTCCTCTGACGCTTCTTTCCAGAGCACCTTGCTCTGTTGTCCATAAGAATAAGAGGGAATTTTCATTTTTTCTTTCCCCTTTCTTCTCTATTCTTTCTTTCAGACCCTCCAGTCTCTGAAATAGCCTTTTTCAGACTCAAATTCAGCTAAAATACAAAAGAAGAGCAAACTCAAGTAAATCAATAAACATAAAAGAGAGAGATACAGAAAAGATATGAAGTAGCTGATGATAGAGCAGTTTTGAGTAGGTGGGGACTCGGCTTCAAAATACCTGCATCTTAAAAATAGTCTTCTTATTGCTTTGAATTGGATCCTCCAAAGCAATTTAATGCATCTGAATATGATTTTAGCAACTGTAATGAAAAATGTTCTGTGAAATTAGGATGCTATATATCATATTTCACAGAGATCGGTTCCCTAAAGCAATTCTCCGAGTCATTCAGTTTTTTTTTCACCAGATTGACGTTATTTTTGACGTAAATGGAATGCTGCCCACGGATCAGACACAGACGGCGGCGGGAAGTAGGGGGATGGAGCAGCATGACAATAGGGTCTGCTCCGCATTCGTACGTGCATTATTCTCCTCAAAACAGTCAGACCTTAGACCATCATGCTGCCTGGCTTGTGCTATGATCAACGGAAATGCTGAGCATAATGAGACACTTGGTGACCTTTTTAAACTTGAACGTAACCTGCAATCAGTTACTGCAGATTCATAAAAGATGGCCCCCTGGAGCTTTGGGTTCATACACACAGCATTCAGAGACAGTTTTATGAATCACACAGGGGCAGTGCAAAACAGTTACCTAGGGAGTAGCCATGGAGTTAGTCTTCTTTGCATAGGACCCAGAACAATGGCTCTGCCACTAAATTGAGTAATTGACCTAAACTCTCTGTCCTTCAGAATCCTCAATTGCAAAATTGGCATGGTAATAACATATCACAATAATAATTGCATTTTATGAGGACTAAAGGCATAAAAAGATACATAAATGCTTAGAAGAATGACTGGTACATAATAATCACTCAGTAAATGTCTTTATTCACTGACAATGAAAAGGTTAGCAATATATTCTTAAGTGCAAGTTGTATATTCTGTAAAGCAAGTTGCAGACAAGAGTCTTTATGGCTTATACAGAGATAGATGTAAAACTTGCACAAAACTTGACAGGCACTTCAGGTGGTTTGTTTTTTGAGTCAGAGGACAGATTTTTGGCTTTAATGGTTTGCTAGAAAAGAATCCATTAAGTATTGATTTCTCATTCATTTGGTTTGCTCATTAAATTTTTCCATAGTGACTTACTGGGAGTGTTCACCCATTAATTAGTATGATTCAGTAATATCTCATGGCCAAAATTATTTATCTGAGATTTAGAGTTATTAAAAATAATTTGTTCTGGAAAAAAATAAAAATTGTCCATGTTTACTGAGAACTTACATCTGAATTCAGAATAAAGAAAGTTTGGATCTACTCCAGAATTCTCCTTCACTCCAATTTAGAACTAAACGATACTATGGCATGGAATAATCACCTCATTGCTCTGTATCTAATGTTGTTCATTGTATAAGACACTCCTGATGTTACCAGGTGTACCGATTAATAATGCAGATTGTGGAATCAAAGAAAACACAACAATTTCAAGAGAAATATCAAAAGTGCTTTCTTCAAAGTAATGTCCATTGCTAGCTACACATTTCCCCCATCTTACAGGTAATTTGTGGATACCATCCCATTAGGACTTTTCTTGTTTTGAGCCAGACCATTCAGAGACCCAATTTTCCACTTCTTTGTACATTTTGAAATGCTGCTCAGAAAGTGTGTGTGTCATCGACTGGAACAAGTGGTAATCTGAAGGAGCAAGGTCTGGTGAATAAGGCAGGTGGGTTAATACTTCCCAGGCAAGATCTTTTAATGTGTCTTTAACTGGTTTTGAAGTG